ATGAACACCTTAAGGGAAAATACATTTTATGAGTGTAAAATATCCGTAATTGTCGGAGATAAATAGTCAAACCTCAAATAATATCCATATACTATACACTCCAATCGTTTTCAGCAATAAAATAGTGAATTTAAGTCTGTAAAAACAATTTGAAAACTTCTTTGTAAACCGGGTTGGTGGATGGGGTATGGGGCGAAATGAACACCCTTATGGGGCATAATGGACACCTTATGCACGGAAACAAATCCGATTCCATTTTCATGAATAAAAAATCATGAAATGAAAAAACTTGCCATCCCATGAAATCGTAACAATGATTCATGATTTCGTCATGGAAATACATGATTTCATAATGCAGTGGAATCAAGACCGCTACAAGCGTTACACGTACTTGGCAAACCACACTATATAGGTATCTCTTATACGCCTTTTGTCTTCCATCTTATACAATTACTGATAGTCTAGTGGTTAAAGTATGGGTTTAATGATCTGAAGGTTCTTGGTTCGAATCCAGTCTGAGCATTTTATTCTTTTTGCATTTTTTGGTTAAAATTTTGCTCATGATTTCAACTCGGATGATTCATGATTTTGGAAATGTTTGCTACGTTACGCAAAAGTTGCTCATGATATCATGAATATTATTCATGGTGTATTTTCATAGCATGAAAATACGCTATGTTCATGAAATCATGAGTCATTTTTCTCATTTCGGAGATCGGATTTTTTCCCGTGTGGGGCATAATGGACACCTTGCTAAAAACTGGATTAGACTCAGAAATTGACTCTATAACATATGTACATACCTACGCGAACATGTCCCCATCCCTCCCACATACATACAACCCTCACACACACACACACATACATACAAAAACGAGAACATAGGGGAGACATTTCTTAAGCTTTACTTCGTATAGGTCAATAGGCAACTCCAAAAGAGTATGTAGAATAAGTTCAATTGGTATAGGGGGTCTAATGGAAAATGCTCATGATTAACTACCTTAACGAGAGGTGCTTACATACCGAAAAGTGCCCTGGAAAGTAAGTAGTTATTGAATCACGGCAATTGATTGACATGATGAGAGCCCGATTCTAAAACTATTATTGAAACTATGATTGACAGTGGGGTCAGTTTAGTAAGTTTTTAAGTAAAACTAATCAGATTTCAACCAAAACAGTAACAGATTTTTATTTAATTCAATTCAATTTCATTGGCGAACACACCTCTGGTGATGTTACCGAAATAAAGAAAATAAAACCAATTCATGAACAATCACATGATGAAGATTAGCTACAAATTGATGCCTTATTGAAAGGCATACGAAGGGCAGCGAGAGTCCTGGCATTCATGGAACCACAAGCACCACTTGGAACATTGGATCCAATCCTGTCCTTTGTCAGAAGAACTGAAACAACAGCCACATACTTCGCAGAGCGTATCTTGAACAAGCACCGTTTTAGTTTGATTGCTCTTTCCTTTCGGACGTCCTCGTTTGCGTTTTGGTGTTTCGGCATCACTGTTAGAAATGTGTCTTGTTTCAGCTTTGACCACCTTCTTTAGCTGATCAATATCCTTCAATGCCTGCGATGACTTCAATTCATTTCGGCTGGGGCTTGACGTTATGTTTCGAGCTTTCTCCCTCTTTCGTCCACCGCCAACTTTTCTGGTAACTGTTTTCGGTAAAATCGGCTGGAACATTCGCATCCAACGGTGCCAAAGTAGCTTTCGGAGTCAGCATGTTGTTAGCATCCACTTTTACAATCCCTTTTGGAGCGATATTTTCCTTTTCGTTTGACAGTGAATCGTTGATATCTCCTACCTCATTGTGCATTCGCGAAGGTCCTGCTTCAGTATCGGCTGCGTTGGATTCAAGAGCTTCGTCACCAAGTTCATTGTTTGAACGATCGGTTTCTGGGTCTGCTGGAAGAACGTCCTTTACGTCAGCCGGCGTAAAATCATTATCGTTGAAGATAAACCGGTTCAGCGGAAAAATTCCTGCCTTACGGAATCCGTTGACACCAAGACCCGCGTTAGAAGTCTTCATGAAAGCCGAACCGAAAAGCCGGCTGATTTCGTTCAGGGTGACAACCCTACCAGGATTGCATTTGAGGAAACTCTCCACTTTCTTCGAGAAAGCCGTCTTGAGCGGCCCCATGTAGCTTATGTCGAGAGGCTGTATATAGTGGCTGCAATAGGGGGGGGGGGGGCAAGCGCACGACTGTCACATGGCACTCACGCGCTCTTTCAATTAAGCCAAGGTTCTTCGTATGCGAAGAATGACCGTCCAAAATCCAAAGAACCGGGTTAGCTGTTGGACGCGTGTGCTTTAGAAAATGCTCGAACCAGGTGTTGAATTCTTTCACAGTCATCCAACCGGAAGAGTTGCAGACAAATACCGTGTCTGGTGGAGCACCTTCCATAAGACTGGTAGTCAAACGGGCCCTAGGGAATATCATCATAGGTGGCAGTGTTTGTCCCGTTGCTGACGTGCAAATGTTTGCAGTGGAAAGTAGCTCTCTTTCCACCGATGCCACAGCTCCTACCTGTCGTCGGCCTTTCAAGGCAAACACTTTCGAACGTTTCGTTTGCACCTAAGAATACAAAATGAGTCAAAACATGCATTTTATTTGAAAATGTTTACAACTTACGGTGAGCACAGAGGTTTCATCAACGTTGAAAATCCTGCTGGCACTGAATTTGCCTCCATCCATTTCACGATGCAGCACATCGAAGAAGTTGTCGACCGTTATCTTGTTGAATGCTTGCAACCTTGCAGCTGAGGTAGCCTCAGGAGTACGGAGCGAGAGTTTGGGATGACGCTTCCGAAAACCGTGAAGCCAATCCCAACCAGCCAGCTGTGTCTTCGTATTGAAAACATGTGCTTTCCCGTTGCGTTCGGCCAGCTGGAAGGCAAGGCTCCGGATGTCGCGCGTGATAATTCCGTAGCATCGAACCTCAAAGCCCAAAATGTGAGCCATTAAAACAGCTTCCCCGGCAGGTATGAAAACTGTTTTGAATGAGCCGATTTGCTTCACCTCCTGGCCCAGTACTTCTGCAGTTTTCAGATAGCGGAACAGCGTAGGTCTTGGAATTCCATGGTCCTTGGCTGCTCGTTTGATGGACGTTCCACTCCGGCGGACAGAATCTATGGCCGCTTCCATGGCCATTTTGGACCACTGATGCCTTCCCGATTGTCTTTTGTACGTTCGCACCATCACTGCCACCAAAACACTGCGTAGGTAAACAATGTAAACAATTCAACAAAGTGGGCGTTGAGGTTAGATTCCAGAAACAAGTGGTGTTCATTTTGCCCCTACTAGAGGTGTTCGTTTCGCCCCTAATCGACTATATTAATTTGAATGCATTTTTTTAAATAAATTATTGCAAAAAACAATATTGTGATTAATGTCAACTTTCAGCAGCGATACAAAAAACGTGTTTGGGACAAATAGGTAATTGATAATAAATATTTTGAAACGTTCGTAAAACCTTATTTAGCTCTGAAAAATATAATGAAATTATAATATTTCAAACCCTTGGGTTATCATTTCTAATTTTTCATATATTTCGGTGGTTAAAAGAGGATATCAACTGTTATTATATATTGAAAAATTATATGTTTGATAGTGGTAAAAATGATTAACAACTTACATTTCCGTTTAAATTTAAAAGATTTTGTTATTTTGAGGGTGTCCATTTCGCCCCGTGTGTTCATTATGCCCCTAATCCCCCTACATTAATGTAAATGAATTTAAATATAAAAGGTACATTGGATGAAAGACCTGTGCGTTGAATTGATTTATATTTGAATGAAAAAGCCCTTCAAATCGTTTAAGGTATTTGTTTATTAGGGAATGCATAACAAATAATAATTTTGTGTGCAGAAGTCGAATCGATTTGCGGTCTTCAACGAAGTTGTTCTGTATAGTTTTCCCAATCTTATATTTAGGTTTGGTTAAATTTAACGATTTCTTTTTTTAAATTTTCGACAAGTATTTTAACAGTTTCGGACCGTTTCCCGTACAAATTATGAAGCTCTCCAGCAAATCAAGATCGTAGTCAAATTCGTTAAAATTGGTCACAGTGGCTGAGGACCTCAATACGAATCAAAAGAGCTGTGGAGAGTAGTTGGTTGTTAAGTTGACCCACCATAATGGGCATCCCACATTTCCCTTAGTCATTTTAGGATACATCTTGCATGACATTCGAGAAGCGCATGTAGATCGAAATTCCTGCGCCCAGTTAGTTATGTAAAAAAAAAAACAATCGGTTTTCGGAGGTGGTTACTTCTCATAGAGTAATAATGAGTATCCACCATGACAGGCCTAATTCTATTTATTTTGTAGTAAAAACATAAAATTTTGTCAATCTTACAGAAATTTCGGAAATGATAGCAAAAATTAATGTCAAATGACTGTACGTATTTATATTGGACTAAATTGCTAGATTGCACCCAACTCCATGGCTTCTTTGGTAATTGCAATACTTTTCCAACATTTCATGCAAACAATCACCACATAGAGAAAAAAAAATACAGTAATGTTTTCGTTCCCCGCGCCACCGTTAATATCTATGCTCACTACACCAAGGGATGCAGCATACGATGATCAGTGTGCTTTTTTACTCTTCTCTTCTCTTTCGGCACATGTAGGTAATGCTCTCCAGGCCCATTGACGATGACTTCAAACCAAAACATATCTCATCTGCACCCGTCCCACTGCAAGCAAGTAGATTTCATCGGAAGGGTGCTCAATCATAGATCACCACTGGACAACCAACTCAAAGCCCATCAGAGATATCTATTATTGCGTGCCACAAAGGCCAGTCAGCCAGCGACTACACACACCACTGACAGTAGGTACTCTATCCAGTCTGTGAATTTCCAGCAAATCCGAATCGAATCGGAAGTGCTGCTAGGAAAAAAGAGAGCGAGAATCAACCAAGCAAGCTCGCGGTAAACTTCGAATCGTACATCATCGGTTCCGATCGAAGCAGTTGTGTTTTGACCATTGTATCGCGTTGACTGAGCCCGTATGTTCCTCCTGGATCGAACCTTTCGATACACGATACGCATTCTGTAATCGGAAAACCACCCTGAAGAGAAGTTTGTCCCCCATCGGTGTGTAACAGGAAGTGCTTGGAAAAACATACCTTTTGTGTGCGCCCACACCGGAAGTTCTGAGACACTATCGCGGTGAAGTGAAACACTCTCGTCGAGTCGAATCTGGAACGTGTTTTGTGCTAGTTGCATATGTGCGAGAAGTGGCGAAAACGTCATTTTTTGTAATAGATTTTAAAAATAGCTATCAGTCCCCCGCACGATTCCAATAAACGCATGAGACGCTTGTATATTATATCGTGAAAATCAGTCTCGGTGAAAATCACGACGACAAAGACGACGACGACCGCGACGTCGACGCGCTAGCTAGGAGCAGAGGAAAAGCGACGCGCAAAAGAAAAAGGGGAGACGAGACGCGCACGTGTCTGTGTGTTTGTGTGGGTTACTATCTTTGTGTAGATTTTGAAGCAAATTGTTCGGCCCGAAAGTGTGTTGTTGATGAACGCATTAATTTTTTTTTTTCGAACAACGAACAAACAAGCGTGCACGGAAAAACAGGCATTAATTGTGAGCGAAAAAACAAAGCAAAAAGAAGTGCAAGAAAACAAACATACAGAGCAGTAACGTATATAATATCGCGCAAGAGAGAAAATAGGAAAAAGCAGCCACGCAGAGAGGTGAAATATAGGAAAGTCATGAAGTAATAAATGATAAATGATAAAAAGCTGCAAATTAAAACAAAAAAAGCAAAGGTGATTAGAGCGCAAGGAGGCAGCAATTTTCGGGTAGCAATCGCGGAAGAAGGCAAGTGATACATATTTATGTGATTTTTATTGCGCTACCCAAAAGCGTAATTTTTCGTTCGAAACTCGGTGCCCATATCCGTACGAACGTCAGCCACGGGTCGAGAGCCTCCGCGGTCTTTGATTGGGGTGTGGAGATCCATCGGAGAGTATCCGTTAATTGAAGTGAAGCATTATAAGTAGTGAAGGAAGTTTTTCTCGGCTCTAAGAGCTTGGCCGAAAAAAAAAACCTGAAGTGAGCATACATAGAAGGCAAACCTGAAAAATCGGATGCAATATTCAACGCTTTAATTAGCCCATCCTTCCCCCATCCCTCCCGCCTGATTGCCCTCGCTCGCCACCCAGCGGCAATCTGCGATCTTGGTTCAAAAAACTTTAGCGCCCCCGATGAGTCAGGTTTTCATTGGAGGATAATTACATTCAAATTTTTTGGAAATTTTCGGCTCACAATAGTGCACGGGCTGTGGCTCGAGAGTTTGTTACCAACACGGAAAGTGCTACGGATCAATATAGGCAGGAGGAAAGAAGCTTCAAGTGAGAGAGGGATAGAGGGAAAAAGAGGAAGAAGTGCAATCCGAAAGCCTGAAACGCGAAATATCTGCTGGAGCAGCTTTTGGCAGAAACTTTTTTGGATCTGCGGGATCTATCTAATCAGCAGCAACCGAGTGAACCAGTGAAGGAGAAACGAAGGAATGCTTTGATGCCCGTTGGATTAAAGGTAATGCTTTGGAGTAATTGCGCGTGGAATGATGGGGTTCGATTGGGGTCTGTCGGAAATGGTGCGTTTGGGAATTGTTGGGAGGATTTGCGTCAGTAACTTGTTTCGGTGGAACAAGTGGCTGGAATTTATGTTTTCGGAATGGTTTCTATTTGGCTCGATGGAGCTGGTGCAATGAAATTCGGAAGACTTTGTAATTAGGGTAGGTTGAATGGATCCAGCGAACAATCAAATAACTGTACATCATTTTATTAACAGGAATAAACTTCATTGGCTGCGTTAGAAAAGAATTATTCCTTAGAATTTGAACTGCAGTATAAAAAATATAATTTTTGACGCATTCCAATAATGCATTCAACCCTTTACTGACCAATCCCGCCGTTGGGCGGAGTAAACTTAAAGAGGTAGGAGAAAACAAACCTTATTTTTAATCAAATGCTGTGCTCAGAGCTGGTAAATGTGTATTTTTTACTGCATAGATGTCACCATACGAATTGTATAGGAGTCATTCCAGCTCCAGTGGGTACACCACCTGTGGTCGATGTCACCGATTTGAGCCAAACTTGGCCAAAACGCTTATTTTTGCATTCTGAACAAACGCCTTTTTTGATTTTGCTCTGAAGTGCCTAGATCCCTTTCGGCTACAACCCGGCTTTCGAGATTTTTAAAAATTTTATCTTTCAGAAGAGATTACTCCACAACTGAAATTATATGTACCTGTTAATCTATCTGATTTCATCGTACTTCTAGAGCACAATGTTTTGGCTGTATCCAATAGGAACGTATTTTTCACCTTTAGGACCACAATTAAATTATGGACAGAAGTAAATAAATGAGCTAGTTATGATTTCATATAATGAGAATCCTGTGTAAAATATCATAAAAATATTATTGTTCCAACAACATTCAAGAAAAAATAAAAATATTAAATAGCATTGATTTTCTTCCAGAAAAGCTCAAAACTACCACTAACTCATTTGATCATATCTCAAAAAATATATGTCCACATCATTTGCCCTTGGAAACACATCAAATAAAAGAGTTTCCCAAAGTGTGGTGAAAATTTGAGCCCAATATATTAAGAAATAAAAAATCCCGCCCTTGGTGAAAATAGGCCATTTTTTTACAATTTTGATACCTGTCGGTAATCAGTCTGTTTACTGTAGTTTCTGAAACAAAAACGAAATGTGGGTACACCTATAAGAATAAACATTTAAATCCATTCAAATTGACATTCTAATACCATGAATAGCTTATTTGATTGTGGAGTAATCTCTTCTGAAAGATGAAATTTTAAAAAATCTCGAAAATCCAGGGTTGTAGCCGAGAGGGATCTAGGCACTTCAGAGCAAAATCAAAAAAAGGCGTTTGTTCAGAATGCCAAAATAAGCGTTTTGGCCAAGTTTGGCTCAAATCGGTGACATCGACCACAACTTTTTTAAATTCTGTACCCACTTGAGGGGAAACTAATGTCATGACATTTTTCCTTATAACATTTTCATGACACTTACCACCTGGAAAAATACATTGTCTCTCTACCATTTACATGAATATTTGGAAAAAGTCGCTTACAAAATCATACTGTTCTAATATTTAAAAAATATCTTCAATAATTTTAGTAACAACATTATTTCATTGAAGAAATACTCTAAACATAAAAATTAAATTTTCATCTTAATGATATTTAGACTGAACCATTTTTTTCTAGCTTCAGCTGGCAAAAGTTGGTTAAAATGCAGCTGAGATTTAAGAATCAAATCACACCAATGCCTAAGATCACGTTTGATTTCCGAAGTCAAACATCAACAAGCTAGCAACTGCGGATGATATTACAAGCTGTGATATCGTAGCTATAAATATAATGCTAACAAAACTCATCAGCTGCAATTCTAACAAAACCGTTGTGTGTTTGTGTTTCGTGAATTTTACTTTAAATCGAAGACAACAAATGAAGAAGACTGGCAACTCTTCCATTTTCTTATACGAACGCTATGAGACAGGTACAATCGCGTCATCTGCCGCTCAAAGGTAAATGCTTCGAACGAATTTGATAGCAAAGATTACATCCTCAGAAGAAAGGTATCAGTCGCTTGGATTCTGGCAAAGTTGCCAGTCTTCTTGATGTGATGTCTTTGTTTAAATTCGAACGCGACCTGAAACTATCATCACTTTTGCAGCAGTAGCTTCATGTCTACCATCGAAGTACATATTTGCTATAGTTTTTTTTTAAGTGATAGTGAAAGTAAATAGTGAAAGTGAAAGTGATACAAATGTAGTAGAATCAAAAGGAAAAAAAAACATCGTAATAAGGTATACAATTATTATACTAAAACGCTCATCAATCAATTTAGAATTGCACGACGGACAACCAAAGCTTGAAGTGAAATTTTACCAAAACTGTATACAATTTCCGTGATAAAATTAGTTATCTTTAGAATACTTTCCCTAATTACATCGATTTTATGATGTTTTATCCGAATTAAAAATAAACTAAATTATGAAAGAAAAATATCATTCGGGGTAAGGTTGGTCCGTCCAGAAGAACTGATGCTTAATCTCCAACGAATAGCCATCTCGCACCGCAGAAGACAGCTTGGCTCCTAGTACTGCTGCCTGCAACTCGAGTCTTGGAACTGATAGCGGCTTCAACGGAGCCACCGTTCCACCCACCATAGCTCGAAAATTTGCTACCCACCCATAAGCACCATCGGACACTATGTGCAGTTGTACATCCTCGATCTGGTCCATTCTGGCGTCTCCAAAGTAACTCCGAGGAATTCTGATCGCTTCAATCATCGGCGAATCCACTTCTGGAATGATTCATCGTCAATTTCATCATTCCAATCGCAGCTAGTGAATGGAGAGAGCAAACCTTGGGGATCAATCATCGCCATGACACAACTCAACACGATTCTTTTGGTTGGTCGTTGAACTCCTTATATAATCGGTTGGTATTCCTCTCGTCCATCGGCCGAAAACAGGAAAACGTCCTCTTCTGGATCCCATATGATTCCCAGATCTCGCTCTGTATTCGTGGTTTTGTCCCGGTTGAAATGAACAGCAGGGTTTGACTTCCGCTCGGGAGTGAATAAGTTTCACCTGGTTAGCCAATTCTATTGCTTCATCGACGAAATTGACGTCTACGTAATGTTTTCGAAACACCGCAGACGATGCTTGTGGAAACTCGTTCGCAAACTCGGCAGCATTCAAGTTTTTTAAAAACTGCGCCAAACAAGAGGAGCAGGTGGCCCCAAACGTAGCTACGTCCATGGCGTACACTGTTGGACATCATTCGAATTAACCCGAAACAGAAACCTCAGAGCTTACTTATCTGCCTTCCGTAAATATGTCATAAATTTCTAGTATATCTCAATCGAACGCAATTCTGCGTTCACGAAACTGGTTATTCACCGTCGGCAGACGGGACTCCATCCACCGAAACTGCGGTGTCCCAAACCAGACGTACTTTACCCGGCTTCCACCACGTTTAAAGGAAGGTACCACACCTCATTTTTCTTCGCTCCAGCTAGCTCCTCCACTGTGGCTTTATACGCGTAGCCCGTCATCACGTACTCCGCTATCTGTTCGTGAACATTGTGTTTCAAATCTGGAATTCTTTCCGGTTTTCTCTCCAGCGCCTTCAATCGCCGGACCGCCATCGGATAACTATCCGGAAATCTCCTTTCGTTCTCACGCCACAGTAAACCCGTCTGGAATCTGTCGCCGATCCACACTGTAGTTGCGTGGAGAATTTCACGTGCGCGTATATTTGTGGCTGACTCAGAAGCTGCGGTGCAAGAACTGGTATCCTCCAGCAAGTACTGTGTCCACAGCGTCTCACGAAGATCCTCGCTCTTGATCTATTCAATGGAATGAATCTGCATCAAAATTTCCTGGTCCATAAATCGTCCATCCAACAACGATCGGCTGATCAAGCACTCCCACTCGTATTTCTAGTGGAGTGAACACGTGCAGTTTGTCCAAACCGATTATAATGTGAGGTTCCTCCGGATCGCAGTTTACTACTGGTAAATCCTGCAGATGAGAGTAGTGATCCGCGATCTATTCGAAATGCATGGCTTGACATGGCAGCTTTATCTCTGCCACCGTACGTGAATTCCTCAACATCGGTATCTCGCGGGATCTCCTAGCCGACAGCATGAGAAATATTACTGAAACAACAGTAGATCTATTTCAATCCACTGTTAATCATACTTCAGTATGTGACAGCTGTTCAATACTCAACCATCAGCAACATATTTGTGTTATGATTTTTGTGAATAATAAACGATGGATTTAATGGAACGTAAATAATCCAAAATATGTGTGTTTCCAAAAAAGGGAAGGCACTGTACTCACCGTAGATCAAGCGATTAAACGGTCCCATATTTTCGCTTTTCGCTTACCTGTCAGGCCTCGACTGGAATTCTGTCTACGACAGTGTGGATGTCCATGACATGGCCTCAAATTTGTGTGCCATCATCCGCCAATGCTTGAACTTAAACGTTCCTACGAAGAGAAAACCTGTCTCTCCTCCTTGGAGTACGCCCCTTCTTCGGAAATCTAAGAAAGAACGCAATCGGTGGCAACGTTATTTCCGGGCGCATAGATCCGTATTTGCAAAAGCTAACTTCTCTACAAATCACACGTTTTGAGGGTGCAGTTTGGTTTACGCCGGGATCCGAAATCGTTTTGGGGTTTCGTAAACAGCAAGAGGAAAAGCTCATCAGTTCCGCCTAATGTGATCTATGATGGCAAAGAGTCCAATAGTGAAGTAGAAGCATGCAATTTCTTCGCGATGCATTTAGCATCCATCTTCGAACCGACGTCGAGGCCGAACTGGCTGCGTCAAATGTCGCGCTGGATGCAGTTGATTTAGACACGTTCGAAATTTCATCTGCAATGATCATCGGTGTTTCAAAAAAGTTGAAGAATTGCTCCTGGCCCGGATGGTATCACTCCTGTTGTTTTCCGTCGCTGCGCATGCGCAGTAGCTGAGC